CCCCCCCCCCCTCCCCCTTCAGATAACGCACTGACACACGTAGCCCGCACGTGTACGTGTCGCTAGCCGGCCCGAGACTGAATGGAGAGATCCGGAAATGTTCGCGAGGCACGCGACCGCCTTGAAGGTGACGAATATTTTGACTATGTGATCGAGCTCATTGATGAGCGACGACCGTTAGAGGACATGTGTTTACATTTCTTGCCGATTGTTCCGGCACTCTGGTGCGTCGCGCATTTTTTTCGTAACCGAATTACTGCTGGTTGAAACTAAGAATAAAAATTGAACGCGGTAAAATATTGCGATGTCGAATATTAACTAATTCTGCGAAATAAGACTTTTTTTAACGGTTTAGACTTCAAAACGGTTTAACGGAGAAAATTACATTAATAATTTATAGCATCAAGGTAAGACAATAACGTGCATTGCGAGAAAAGAATAGAAAAATATTTATTCGAAAGATATTGATAATATATTTACTTAAATCTAAATTGTTTGATTTAAATAAGATTAAGAAAAATGCTTTCATATATGAAAAGCTAAGGTTCTTTTGAGGTTTAAAGATATATAACTTTTCTTATACTTGAAATTTTTTTAAAATTTATTATTTATTAATGTACTATTTTTTAAACTTGAATTCTTATTTTTTATATGAAAAATATTTTTATTAATATAAATAAATATGTTATTAGTGGTATACTCGTCAAATAAATATTTTTTTATTTCTTATGTATTTTTCTCACAGTATGTTATCTCGAGTCAAAATTTTAGTCCTACTTCCGATTAGAACTTTATAAGATATGTATATTTTGGAGGATCAGTGTATGTTTAATACGCATGAAGACTAAAATCTTACTCTTAGCGCCTCTAAGGGCTGATTTTTCAATAATAGTTTAAATTTAGATTTCGACTTAAACTTGGTTTAAACAAAATAAACATATTGTTAAAATAGAGTTTAAACTTGAATCCAAATTTTATTGAAAAACCGGCCCTAAATGGTAGAAAACGCGTATAAAATGTCTTGAAAGTTTTAAAGAGGACAAGAGGTCTCGGCAAAGTTAATAAGAGGTGTTAAAGAGAATTGTTAAAGAGAAATTGAGGTCAAAAATAGGATAAAAGTTTTCATTTGGAAGGGGAGAGAGGTATATTTTGAGATTCTCTGGTTCTTTGACTGAATTTGTAAGATCAATATGAAACTAATATTTCGACTTAGACTAGCAGTCAATTTATTTCGCGCAAAATAAAATATTTGTCATACGTTTTTGCCCGTTTTAAGAGATGCACCTTTGAGACTTTCACATTGTTGCTGCACGTTGCGCACACCACGGTGCATTTGCTATGTTTTTATCACCGGACCGTTATAAGGTTCCACGAACAACGACCGATAGCAGGCGACAGACGAGCGGTGGTGCTGACGGCTGGAGAGTTTGCGAGTAATCGAATCGTTCGCTCCGGCTGGTTTGCGTATCCCGCTTCCACGGTTATACGATCGGTCTTAGTTTCTGCGAATTCATCGGCGTGCAACGCCGGAGCGTGTCTATCGGACGAAATAGTGCGAGTCCGACGAAGCATAACAAAACTTGGTACGCCGGGCTAGCACGCACCCGATAACAGGCTTATTTCCGGACTAATTTGTTGACGGGAGAAAGAAAATCCGAGCTGACAGTCGTCGTCCGGCTTTAGGTTCCATGAGAAACTCACGCCGAGGTAAACGCTCAAGAAAAAATTTTCTACTAAGGTAAATGTACCAATGCCCGGACATGTACCCATCTCCAGACATTGTTATTATTTTTATATTTGAATATTTCAATTTTCAACGTACAATACATACATATTGGTATACATACATTTAATATTTATATTTAGTGTACGTTGAAAGATGAAATATTTAGAGAAATATTCGAAATAATAAGAATGTCCGGAATTAGGTACATGTCCGGACATTGGTACATTTACCTTAATCCGTAGCTGAAAGCTGCGAGAACTTCGAGGAGGGATCACGTCAGATGTTTCGAATGTCTAAAAGAAGTAAAAAAACTCTTCTTGAATATCATCAATATTTAACGTAAAGGATAATAAGAGTTCAAGCACAGGTTGGATAGTGCTATTAAAACTATTAAAAAATAGTGACCCAATCTCACAATAAGAAA